CTCAGTCCAACCTAAAAAGGTGAGCTCAGCTACTAAGAAGGTTGAGGCAGGAAAATCTCAACACAGCAAGATCTGAACTCAAAATCATAATAATAATCAAACTGAGGCAACTAGAGAATAGAAGGCAAGGAATAAAGGACTGGGTGAGGACCAGGACCTTTTAGGTCATGAGTGGGGGGTGTGGATTAACTTACCGATTCACTCTGCCCTCCTTTCATCCACCCAACACCCCGACTCTAGCCTGTCCCCACACCTAGTTCAAACCCTGGTTTGAAATAGCAGTTTTTAGGTCCCCAAGCTCCTGATGACCAGTTGTATCGTTCAATATATACATATGTTCTTAATTGACAAGTCCATGCTTTCAGCCATGAATTCATAATTAATGATTAGGTTCATTATCATTACCAGTTATTATAATTGCTATGGTGATTTTTTTTGAGAGCTGTTTTTTCACTTATGTGTAATCACAAGCAGCTCCACCCTTCCCGTGTAGTTTAAGAAAGTTTTCATAGCAGCAAGGAAGAGAAGTTGTCCCATAAAACAGTAGAGTGGTTAATCCCAAATTCCTGGAATGCAACACCTAAAGCAAATGCAATGTCAATATACAGGATAAAGAGGCTCAAAAAAAGTTGAGGAATTCCAAACAAAGATGAGAACACAGAACAATATGAATCAATTTGTTGGTATTTTGTACAGTAGTTTCAAATAAACTCTTCATGGAAATCTGGCCGCTTTCCCAGTCCCGTCCTCCTCTGGATCTATTACAATTGTCTCGGATTTCTCATTTTAATATTGTGCTTTTGAAAGAAAAAAATGTAATCAGTTACAACCTGGTTTAAACCTTTCCCCTTGCTTCATAGCATGCTATTTCTTTGAGTTATTTAGAACACACTAAGTATTTAGGAGCTCTGTTGTCAGCCTTAAGATTTTCAAATAAATAAAAGCTAGTAATTACTTACTTTTAAAAAAGAAATGTCTGATTATTGGTGCTTTCCTTAATGTATTGCTGTGACTCTTTATATACATTAAGAATATTAAAATAGATAAAAGACCTGTAGTTCTAAATGTTTATGTCCCTCTTGGAGAGATTAAAAGTAAAATAATTGTACTTAAAGAAATCACTTTTTCTTTTCCTAATTCCTATTCCCAAGGGCATTATTAGCTGATCACTGCTAATAAGACAGAATTTGAAAGTCTCTAAACAGTGTATTGTAAGGATATTTTGTTGTTGCTCCATTTGATAGCTCCTCTTCAAATTTTGCCTTTTTGGTATATTTGCCTGTCTTATGAGTAGGACTATTAATATAACAGAAATTAAATATTAAAATTAATTGATAGGGTATTATATTTGTGGCACATAGTGTTAACAAAATATTTGTGAAAAGTTTGTAGGAGATAGGATTTATTTAAAGATTTTCATAGAGGACAAATGATATTTAGTGTATTTGAGTGGGTAGATTTAAAATCTGCAGACCAACCTGTGAGAAAGTTTTAATGGGGGACCAGCAGTTAGTCGAATGGCTATGTCGCTGAACTCTCATGTAGTTGACCGCACTTCGAGTCCCAGACCCGGTGGCTTAAACTAATGCTGGGTGTGGTGCATGTGTGCCCAAGATCCCCAGAGGAGAATGGAGGAGAGGGGATTGTGGTGTGGCCATCCCCCCTGGGGGATGATTTCTTGCTTCCTGTCTCTCTGTTTCTCTCTGTCTTTCTGGCGAGCACACATGCCCAATAGCAAAAACCTCTCAAAAAAAAAAAAAAATGAAAGAAAGTTTTCATGGAAAAGACAAAAAGAAGAATGAGTAGCAGGATTTAGAAAGTAGAACCTATGTAATGGGTGACTATAAAACAGGGCAAGCCACATGGTTTGGACGCAAAATCCTGCTAAGCCAGCTGACACCTGTACAGTACATTAATATTCACAGAGGTGCTCTGACATCACATATCATCTTATTCAAGATTCCTCTACAAAGTATTCAGAGTGGGCATAGGGATGGGCCCCATTGCCTCATGTTTAAGAGAGCCAGATCTCAATTGGCTGACCATGGTTTGAATCTCAGCCCCAGCAGCTTAAAAAACATGTTGCATGCTTGCTCTAAATCCTAATAGGATGGAGAAATGGCGGAGAAGGGACTGCA